TTTTTTTTCCATGTTTAGAATTAGCTTTTTAGCAAGGCCATCTGCACAAGTCATCAACATTACTTCTGTGTAGCTGCTAAGTCATACAACTGAGATGGGTTTCTGACTATTTAGCAAAATGTCCTCCAGGATTCATTAATTTCAAAAAGAACAATATAGACATGTCTCATCTGTTCTGCTCTCAGTCCCCATCCCTTGTGAAGAATGACTGGGATAAATATTCCACTGATTTATCTATTCCTTAGGACTTATCCCAAGGGATGTAAAAGTTTTCATTAATAGGCTTTTGTTTCCAACAATAAAACTAATTTCTAAAATTTATTTTATTACGCTCTTCTTTTCCCCAGACGAAAAGCAAAACATCTGTTTTCTCCAGCAAACTGAAATATCAAGAAATCAAAGTAAAATGCTAAATTTAGAAATGGCAAACCAAATCCACTTCCCAATCAGACTGTTCTGTTTTCTCCACATTCAGGACACCTGATTTGCAACATTGGCAAACTCACTTGCAGATTTTTCATAATAAAAAGTTTCCTTTAGGATGTGGTGAGTGTGGGAGTCTCAGGGGAGGGGCAGCTCTGCCTGGCTTGAGGTCTCTTTTGTCCTCTCATGGCTGCTGAGAGCAGGCCCAGAGTTTGAAACAAGTCCTCACATTTCTGAGGTTTCATTCCACCCTGGCAGCCTGGCAGGACCCACTGAGGAATGCATCAGCTGCACCAAGGTGGTACCAACCATCACCAAAGAGCCAGGAGTGACAGGCAGTGGAACAGCCTCCACATGGCTCTCAAACACAGCAGCCACATTTTGCAAAGCCTGCTGCCAGTGCTCTCTACTGCTGTAGTGGTTTTGGACATAGAATTTTTCCCTCTCCTCTGAATTCCCTTCCACTGACTGATACCAGATTCAAGATCCAGCATCAGAAATCAATGCTGCAGGAATGATACTATAATATCTGAATATTGAGAAAATAAGAACCTTAAAAACCAATTCATGGCTCACACAGGCTCTTTTTCTTTACCAGAAATAGTGACAAAGCCAAGATTTGACTGGAAGTTCAGTTTCTGGTTTTGATGCATTCCTGTAGTGGCTGGTACAGTTTCTTCCTCACTGCTGGAGGGGAGCCTTTGCAATGCTCAGTGCCACACAATATCAATATTGCATGGATCAATGGTGAAGGGAAGGAAAACTCTTTGTTGGTTCAGCAGAACCACTCTTAGTTCCCAACATAATTGCCTCTGAGACTACTTATATATTTGTACAGAACTGTCATGGAATAAATGTAACAGACACTCTTCAAATTCATTTTCATCCTCTTTTCCCTGTAGAGTTTTTTGTTCTATATGACTATATCCACTAGTACCACTTGTTCACTCTTTCCTCCATAGCTGGCCATTTTATTATTTATTCTTAGCCTACAGTATTCAGCACAGGAACAGGTACCTGCTTCAGATCCACCACAAAGTCTCCCTCAATCCATTCATTCTCCCTGGGCCTTTATAAAGTTATCACAGCCTGTAGCTGCATCAGCTTAAAGGCAAGATAAGTCATTCACTGGAGAGCAGCCTCCTACAAATGATTTATTGCACTAGTGTCATTGTTGAACAGAATGCATTTATTTTGCCATGATTACAGGAAACATGTCAAGGTACTCACAATTTTTAAAGCTTAGAACATCTGACATAAAAGTGCTCTGGGTTTGACACCAAGGAATAAAGAATGCACCAAAAAGAGACAAATTTCACTTCTGTAATTGTCCAGCTGAAGAGACTGTGCACACACATTTCTTTGTGTCTTGACCTGACTCTGCAGTTTTGAGCTAGAGAAAAATACAAACCAATTGTCTTATTTTTTCTGAAACTGCAGTGCTACGGGAGGAGGGCTTAGTCTTAGAAAATCTGCAATTTTGACAGTTATGTTGAATCTGCAACTTTTCATTCTTTGTCATTGAACTTATCCTGCTACACAGCCTAAAGACAAACTTCAATATTCTTCTTCATCTAGAGAACAAAGCTGAGCTGTAAGCAATTCCCTGGCGGTCCCAAGTTTGCTACTGGCTTTCATTAGATGTTTGTGATTTTCATTTTATCCTGCTGTAGTTGTTGCAGTCCTTCTTTGTTCAATATTTTATTTTCCATGCTAGCTTTTAGCCAGTCTGTTCTCTTCGCTTTTGTATTTTTATATATTCAATAATACATACATGCATAATTATACATGCAGTATAATTATATTTTGGTTGATTATACATGCCACCTTCTTTTCTAATTATCACAGACACCAGACTGTAATTCCTTGTTTCATCCAGGCCTGTGAGACACAGAGCAGTATTTAGAGACACAAAGTTCTCAGCTTCCATCATTCTTGACAGCAGCTGCCTTCTATCTGATGAGAGAAGCTGAAACACAGAAAAGTGCTGCAATTTGTCTATAGGGTGTCAGAGGTGGAAACAAAATCAGCATCTCCTGGTTCTTAGTCCAGTTTCCCAACCCCAAGAGTACACATGTAACCAGGTTTTTGTACGCCCACAATAACTGAACCCCTAGAGTGAAATCCTTAATGTAATTTTAATAGCTGAATAAAGTGATTGATAAATTATTAAAGAGTTAAATAGCAGTTAATTTTTTACCTCATCATCAGGTTAATAACCTATTGCTTACTTTGATAGTTTGAAATATGCATAGTGAATCTAGAGACAGAAAAAGAAAATGTCTGAAAAGGGAATATAGTGAAGCACTGCTAAAACAATGTATTTCTTTAGCACTTCCAAATCCCCATGTTCTGTTTCAACAGACCTGGGAAGTAGGAATAAGATAAAAGAAAATAATGGAAATAAATAAGCATTATTAACCACCTCTGTAGAGAGTGAAAATATTGAGGCTGGCCAGAGGTGTCCTTAGAACTCAGAATGGACTTTATTTCTCTCCTTTTTCCACTGTCCTCCTTACATCCATTCTGCCATTGTGCTAGTTCGAGGTTCTCAAAAAAAGATTTAAAGTTGGTGTTTTCTTGCTTCATGTTGTTATTGAAAGAATTCTTATTTTCTTTATAATTTGAGCAGTGCAGTAAACGCCTTCTTTTTCAGCATTTTACAAATAAAGGAAATACACAATTCCAGGGAGAAAGCACTTGAGTGTCTTAGACCAATGCAATGATTCCTCAGATCTCTATAGAGCCAAAATTTTTCTCACTCCACTATTTAGCAGTTTGCAAGGTTTGCCACCTACACTTTGCAACATAAGTTTCCAAGCACTGCAGTCTTTTCTCTCAGTGCCTACAAATACATTAGCCTTGTACCATAGCTCTGATCCTGAGATGTTTCAAGTCTCAAGTCGAACTCTGTTGCTCTTCTGGTACTCTCTTGGATCTTTTTTGAAGATCTTGTTAAAAAAGCGCAAACTAACAAGCAAACAAAAAACACCTGAAACCAACAAACAACTAAAGTCATCACATCTGCTGTCTTCCAAGACAGTTTGAAGAATAAGTTACATTCTCCATTCAGCTGTGCAAAAATTGTAATTTTCTTAGAGTCCTTGGGTGAAAATCCATTTTCTTGATGCTTTGTCAACATTAATTTAAGCAACTGGTTCTAAAGCTGTTTCACTGATGTTTTAACTGGAGATGATAGACATATTTCTCTTAAGGAAAAGAATCTTCCTAAGCTCATTTGTCATGAACATTGTTGAAGATAATTCATTGGCTTTGCAGCTGGGGACTCATATTATCTGTGCTACCTCTAATAATTCACTCATACATTGACCCATAGACTCAAAGGTATCCACTGAATTTCTGTTGCACTTGAAAAAATTCACCAGAAATACTTTTGGCAATTTGTTCCTCTAATTTGTCATTTTCAGTCTGTCTTACAGCTTTTCATTTAATGTGTCTGCCCTTTTACAGAGTGTTCCCATATTTTTTGCTTTAATAGCCTCCTCTAATTACAGTAATTTCATGTCCCATCACATTCTCTTCTGAGTGTTCACTATGGTGTCTCCATATTGTTTACACCACCTGGAAGTATTTAAAGGTTTGAAATTGACCCTTTAAATTTGATTTTTGCATGCTCTTCCATTAATTGCTGTGTTCTAGGTATTCTGTATTACTTGCAAAGTTGGGGTTTTTTTGAAGTATAGCATATATACCTTTTATAATTGCTGTACCAAAGAGCTCTTCCATACTGTCTCTGGTGCCAAGTCTTGATGCCTTTTTCAGGAATACTATTTCCCATTTTGAGAAAAAAAACAGAGAAAAAATCCTTCAAAATAGTAGCTGTTCATGTTTCCAAAATAAAGAAGATTCGTACCACATGAATCTTTATGTCTTTCCTGAAAGTATTTACACTGTGTTTGGAGGAAAATACTGAATATGACATGAATCATAGTAAAATCACAGAGATTGCTATTGAGCAGAAATGCTGAGAAACTCTATGGTAACATGGTTGGTGGGGACTGCAGGTGCTTCTAGGGCTGTTGCTGTTCTCTGAAATTGATGTCAAAAGAAGATAACTTTGCAGTCTTTAAGCATAGGGTTTTGTTGGTTTTGTTCCTTGAAACCACTGATGAGGTTTTGATAACATATGAAGTAATAACAAGAGTAATATTGAAAATCCTTTCACTCATGTTTTTTTTCTCTTTTACTGATTAAGGTTACTGATAATTTTGTAGGACAACAGAGGGGAGCAGCTGTTGTTGAGCCCAGTCAACAGCTTTCATCAGCCTCCACCTGCCTGGAGGTTTTACCAAGTTACAGTCTGAGCAGAGGTGCTAAAGCCAGAGAAAGCACTCTCCTCTGCTTTAAGGCGAGCAGAATTTGTCCAAGACCTCCTTGCACATATTTAATTCAGAGGAAATGGCAGCTATAAAGCTTAAGCAGTTAATGCAGGTGAAACGGTGCAGGAGCGTTTTATACCCAGGATTTTGTGGCTATCCAGAGGGCAGGCAGCAGCTGTCCTTCTGATACAGCTACCTGCACATGACAGCTCTATCTGTATTTTTAACCTCTGGCAGATTAAGGAGACAGCAGGATCAAAGTGGACAGGCTTCCAGCATTGACAGCAGAGCATCTCTTCAGAGCCACGAGAAACTCCAGGATGGGAGGAACAACAACTTGCTGGGACACGGCTGCACCAGGGGCTGCAGCAGTTAGTGACACAGGCTGGCACAGCAGCACACCCCTTCTTCTGCACCCCCTGCACCCCACCGCACCTCACCCCTCCAAAAGCACCAAAAGCAGGATCCCTGGCCAAGGACAAACCCACACACTGGCACGCTGGCTGAGATTTTCCACATACGACTCTGCTCTCCTCTTGACTCTGCCACTGGAAAAATGACCATCAGCAGCAAAATGCAGTTTTTTAAGTAAGTGTGACTTTTGTTTTCAAAATCCTGGAAGAAAACTTGAAACAATTCATTAGGCAGCCTCTCAAAGATTGCCACATTCCTGGATATTTGCAAGAGACAACGTTGTACTGGGGCCAGCTTTATCTTGAAGGCTTTAACATTACCCCCAATCTCTCTGTCAATTAAAATGGTCTAGTTTGAAATTTTGTGAAACTGCTGGACACAGCTGTTTCTAAGCACCTGCTGTTGACTTTATAACAGATGTACATGATGTAAATACGTTAATGTAGTGTCAAATAGGCCAAACACCGAATAATTTTATTTAAATACCTGAAACTCATTGAAAAAGTTGCAGTGTGAGTGTATTCACATTGGTCTTTAACATCATGTGTTCTGCTTTGTAGTAAAAGATGTGACCCTGGCCAAGTCAAAATTTTGCTAGTGACTTTAGTGGATACAGGATCAGATACATTAGTTATGTATGGTAACCATGGCAAAGAAAGACCTTTTTATTTGTAACAATAGGCTGACTGAGCCAGAGTTAAAAAGCAGCTTAGTAAGGAGAGCTAAAAACATTAATAATTTGTTCAGATCCATTGCTAGGTGTTATAAAATGTTAAGAAGTTACATGTGTCTCTGTTTTCATGGATCTATTCTGGATGCAACTATCTTGAATAGAAAGCAACATACTTTAGTCTAAATATTGTTGACATAAAATCCTTTTATTTTAAACAGCAGCCAAAATTCCAAACATTTATGGTATTTTACAACTTGTACATCCACATTTTGATAATAAATGCATGTTTACTCTGTCCAATTGTGCTTTTGTTTTAAAGGTTACTACTTGTAAGCAAAGTTAATTTCAACTTTTTAAAACAAATAAGTTAGGTTTTTGGAAGTGAAAAACATTTTATTTGAAATAATCTATTTTTACTGCATAATTTCCATTCTATCTTTTACAAAACAAAGTTCTTTGTAATTGAATCTACTGTAAATTTTGTTTCATGTTATATGTAACTTTGGTCACAACTTTTTCGCAAATACAGATTTTTAACATTCCATGAAACGATATGGTGTTCCATGTCATCAACAACGGTCTACAAATGTACAAAGGTAAAGATTTTACGTCTGTCATGAACATGGTGTTAGTCTACTTGCTTAATTTGTCACAGACTGAAATCTATAATAATCATAGGATCAATCAAGCCAAGGAGCAAAATTTTTCTGGTCAAAAGAGGACAGATTTTATTGCCCAGAATAAACTATTTCCCATCCATATTTTTTTTTCCCTTGATATTTGTTTCCCTTGGGAAGGAACTAAAGTGGATAACATTTCACATTATTTCAGAAACACCTATTATTCTGTTCCCATCAAAATATATTGTGATCTTGGACCTTGGATCTGGAGAGCCATAGTGTTCATAAGGAGAACCACTAAATCATTGAGATTTTCCATGTAAAATTTTCCAGCTGGAAAAACAAGGGGGGAAACGGCAATTGCACATTTGATTCTTTTTCTGTGATTACAGTTATTTTTAGCAAGAGGAGTTACTCTAGGTGATTTTGTACATCAGCCACATAGGATGCCACTGTGCTAGTACCTTAACTGAGGCTGGGAAGGCATTTTTAAAGTAAATATCCCAACCTTACAGCCCTAAAGCATCTTGGTACATATTTTAGCACCCAAATAATCTGTTTTTTGGGGAATACAAAACCAGAAGATGTGTTCCAAGAGAGCAGTTATTGCCATCTGCCCAGCGTTGAGCCTGTAGACCACAGGAACAGGTGAGAGAAAATCTGAGATAGAACTTCCCCAAATGTGGCTCATGTGGATGTCAGGACAGCAGAGCTTCTCCTGTCCAGCTGCACTGCAGATAATGAGCACACAGTCCCCAAGAAGCCTGGGTTTATAGAATGAGAAGTGGGGAGAATGAAAGATCTACATAGTGCAAGATCATCACTGACTGCATGAAAAATTGGAGGAGTTTACTGCAGATAGAATTTAATTAGCAGCAGGATTCTACCAAATATTTACAGTCTGATCTGTCTCTTGCTGGGTGTCTTTGCCAGTGCTTTACTAAGCTGTTTTTGAGAGGAGCCTGGTTATTGAATAGATTGCACCTACTTACATATATTTGCACAGAATATTGTGCATGAATGCAAGCTCACTCAGACACTAATTTCACGCCTGTTGCCACACAATCATTTCTCAAACTGAACTGCTTGCAAAAAAAATGAAATCATGGCACCAATCAGCTTTATCCATAGTCCATGGCACTTCCACTGACTGCAAACTGTACCTTATGCTGCATATAATTATCTGAGTCAACTTATTACACAGATCAGTGAATGCCCTCAGCTGTACCATGGAGACCCAACATTGAATCCAAGAATCATGGAATGGTTTGGGTTGGAAAGGACATTCAAAGGTCATCCAGTCCAACTCCCCTGCAGTGAGCAGGGACACCTTCAACTGGATCAGGTTGCTCAGAGCCCCATCCAATATTTCCCCTGAATGCTGCTAGGGATGGACCCCCATCTCTCTGGAACACCTACACTCTTATTTCAGGAACACCTACACTCTTATTTCATCTTTCCTTTCGACCAACATAGCTGTAAGGATCGTCTTGCCATGGGAAGCTCTGATAATTGTGAAGAAGAAAATGAAGAGAGGTTATTATTAATAGAATATGATTTGTGGGGACAGAACACATACAATAAGAAAAGTCACAAAGCCTTGGAACACACCTGAGAACACCTTGGTTGAGAGTTGTCTCTCCTACTTTAGACAAAAGATAAATTAATTAGCCAGATCCAGGCTCAAAAATAGAGATGAAAAAGGGAAAAAAAAAATTTTTGGATGTGGTGCACTTTCCCTGTCTTGACTGTCTGTTTCAGCAGATGGTTCTCCCTGTAGCTCTGCCTCCATGGAGTAAACATCAGTGCACACAGCTCAGATGTGGACATGCACATTGTGCACTGACATTTAGTCAGATTAATCTGGTTTGTGATGACACAGACAATTTGTCGAGTTGCTGTCTAATCCTTATGAAAAAAAAATGGGATTATTTCTGATCTATTCAATGGGAGTAAGAGACATTAAACAGTTTTCATCCTTAAGTGCAGTAGTGGTATTAGAGTGACAAGAAAATACACAAACATACTTTTGTCTTGTGCTCCAGCAGAAATGAAAACAGGAAAGTCCTAAGTAAGATGTAGGTTTTTACAATATACTCAGCTAGATGGAGGACAAAAAGAAAGCAGGGCAGTCATAAAACAGAAGAAACTCCTTGGGACTCATTTATTCTATACAGCTTTATTGTCTTGCAAAAGCAGACAGTGGTCTTGACTCCCAGAATCTCATCTGGTTTCTCCAAGTCATTTAAAAGATAAACATACTTTTCTCCTTTCTGTTCCAGGGAAGAGAGAAAGAAGTCTAACACAGCTGGAAAAGCAGTTTGCTGCTACCACAGTTTATTGCAGTGCCTCTTGCTCTGTGGTGTTGCAGTTCTGATCACACGTGCACATTCCCACAGCATCACTCCACGTTAGACTCTGCCAGATTTACCTTCTGTTCAGTTTGCTACTTTTACGTTGTGCGTTAAATATTGGCACAGTACTGTAAATGTTTAATTACCAACTGTCATAAAGTACAAATGGCTCCTTTCATCTGCAGTCTTGACAAAAATGATTAATGTAATATTTCCAGAAGATATTCCTGTAGATCTGGGGGAATTGGAGGGTTGGTTGTAGGTCTTGGCACATTATTGAGGAAATATTAGGCACTGATCCACCCATTCTAGTCATTTAGATGTTTTCTGCTTGCAGAAACATGTGATCACAATTTCAACCTTATTCCTGACTGTTTAAACTAAACCTAAATATTGCTGTAATGGGGTGTACTGAGAAGCTGAAGTAGGCTGAATCAGACCCAAAGCATTTTTCTGTTTTCTACATGGATAGATATACCAATACTTCTGCTATGAAAAACGTGGCTGCCAGCATAGGAGAAGCTTAGAGGTTTTGGACAGGTACATTTACAGTTTTGGTGGAAGCTGGAAAGCAAGGAGATATTCAAATAGTATTAATAGAAAAAGCTACAGGTTTAATAGGCTGCCTCTGTAGCCTCACTGCTCGAGCACCTGCCCCAAGAGGAGACCTGGAACAAACCACTGCCCTGCAAGTAATCGCTATTATTTCTGTATTTGACTCAGACTTCATCCATGAAAAAGTGAGTCCATCTATGCAGACTCTGATTAAGAAGCAAAGGAAGGAAAGACCTCCCTGTCAACAGTGCTGGGCTGCTCAGTCTCTGCCTTCTAGTGCAGCAAAAGAGACAACTTACAGCCCCTGCAGCAGCTAAAGTCATCAGTCCTGCTGGGGAAAGCAGGAATTACTTTTTCTTACACTTCCATTGCAGTTCAGTCCCTTAGCACATGCTACCAACACACCCTGTGATAAATTTTGAATCAGAGATAATGTAAAGCTTTTAGAGATCTTTCTGCTGCCACACAAAAACTTCCACAATAGATTGGTGTGATTTTTAAAGAGGAGCTTTGTGGTACTTCTTCTGGAGAGCATACTAGTAGCTAAATGACTAATTTCTTAAACACATTGTGCTACATCATCTCCGCTTTCATCAGAGTAGTTACTTTTGTTTATCTGTATTTTAGTGATTGAATCAACTATGCTCTGGACAGCAGGGAAAAATGGTTTGGTATTTTTAGCCTGCATTTAGCAATGCAAATGGGCTTCCTATAATCATGTTTGTGAGAAAACACACGCTACAATCAGGACCTCAATAATGGCT